TTTTACGTTTTATTTATTTTTGAGACAGAGAGAGACAGAGCATGAACGGGGGAGGGGCAGAGAGAGAGGGAGACACAGAATCGGAAACAGGCTCCAGGCTCTGAGCCATCAGCCCAGAGCCTGACGCGGGGCTCGAACTGACGGACCGCGAGATCGTGACCTGGCTGAAGTCGGCCGCTTAACCCACTGAGCCACCCAGGCGCCCCTCAATGAAATGCTTCTGATATTTTACTTTTGGTCTCTTTTACAGCCTGAAGCAGCCTGCTACCCTGCCATATTCAGAATTGTTGATGAAATGTTCAGGTAAATGGTGTGCTATTTCTGCTAATAATTGGCCTAGAAATGCTCAGTTTCCAAATATGAATAAAAGAATTTGTGGTAGTCTCTGGCTATACCATGGGGAAGTTAGTTTCTGATTCTGTCTTACCCATCCAAGCTATTTGGTAAAACCCAAATGCCTAGTGTATATTTAAAAGCCAATGCCTAAGAATTAAGATAACTTTCTTTTTTTTTAACAATTTAAAAATCTAGTAATGGTAGAAAGGCAGAATTGAATTCAATATTAAATCATTAAATATTCATGTAGGATTTTTCTCAGCTCAAAATAAAGTGTAGCAGTGTACTCCCTTCACCACATGAGGGCTGACCAATCTTTTTAAAAGATTTTAAAGTTAAGAAAAAACAAGAAAAATAAGTAAGGCAATTCTTAAGAGAGCTCTTCTGAAAGGCAAAATCAACTATGCGTGCTATCCTCTGACACATTAATTTTGCAAATGTGAATACTTCTTGGGAAGTACGTTGGATTTATAGATGATGAGAGGTGAGAGCCCAGTGGATACCAGGCAGTGGGTACCATGGCTGGCAGTTAGTGGGAGCTTGTTACCCAGAGAGGGTTTCTGTCCTCTTTTGTGGGTACTGGTGCAGCCCTGGTACTCACCCTCCCCCACCCGTCCCCCTTGGCATTCACCAGTAGAGCCTCCAGGGCAGACAGTAACCCTGGGGAAAGGAATTTTTACAGCAGCCCTTAAGTTGGTCTTGAAACATACCAGCTTCAAGCTAAATGAGCATAGGAATAAGTCACAATGCAGTTTTTAGTTTAAAGTGGGCAAGGTTTGAGTTGATTTCTTTTGTTTCAGTATAAAGTTAGTTGTGTGAAAATGCGCAGAAACCAATCCAGGTACACACAGATTCTTCCACCGTTTACTGGGTAGATTTGACCCTGACAGTTTACCCCCTTGGAACTCTTTCTCCACTTGAAAAAGAAAACGGTCTGTTGATTTTGCATGCCTGGGCATACAGTGTACAAATACTTCTAGAGAGCACTCAGGCCTATATGGAAGGGATATGCAGTGCTTCATAATTTAAAAACCAAGCAAGGAAGCTTTGCAGATTGCTACTTTAAAGAAAGTATTCCGGAAAGGAGTGACGCACAAGGACCGAAATCTAATGAGCTAGGATACTGCTGAAGCTTATGGCACACACAGAAAATGTTTCCACTCTTCCCTTTTACAGTTCAGAGTCACATGTTTGCCAGATTAATCATTAAATGTGTGTAATCTGGCTTTGTATTGCTCAGGTATGCACTCCTGGAAACCGATGGAGCCCCAGAAGTACTAGCCGCTATTCAAGTGTTTACATGGTGCTTTGTGGAAGCTCTGGAAAAACAAAACAAGCAGGTTTGTTATATTGCACATATTAGTCATTTCCCCCAAGCGGGGGTGGGGGGGGGAGGCTGTTAAGAGTATCTGGCTAATCACCAGAAAGGAGCACTTAATTTTTAGTGATTTTGATAGACTGTTTTGCTTATGAAGAAAGCTGCCAAATGAATGCCCCAGCAAAGGTAAAACCATTTTAATTGAAAATGAATCCAGATAGTTCTTGTCTGCCTTGCGCCCTGGTACCCGGAAGCATTTATCTACTGTTGTGTAAGAAAACTGGCGTGCCGGCATGTGCCACCCTGGAGGACACATTTTCCAGGCCCTGTGTTGTATGCTCTCTGCTGAGCGGGACTCTGCCCTTATCAGGCCAGCAGTAGTGTATGTAGTATGTGCTAAGAAGGAAATGCCACAGAGTACAGAGCAGTGCTGGACATTCTTAATCATCAGAGTTTCCCTGCCTGGGAGGAACCCAAATGTGAACTGGGTTCCAGGAGAGAAAGGAGCCAGTGAGAATGACTAGGAGAGATTTGAATGATTATAGAGAAGCAGCTAGGAATGACAATGACCAAGAGGTGTGAGGTGGTCACAGTCAGTAAGAAGCCACGCATGGGGGGCTGCAGGAAGGCTTGTACTGTAGGGCCCCCTCAGCAGACACCAGGCAGCTGCTGCCAAGGGCCAGTGACCGACTAGGGGGACCTTGTGAAACAGGAAGCATTTCTACCAGAGCTTTTGCTTTGGGATATTTTAACTGACCTTTACTGTGTGTGGGGTCCACTGCAGCTCCCCAGGAGGTGGGCCATGGTCCCCTCGTGGTGGCTTTCTACAGCCTCACATAGGAGAGCAGTGCTGTGCGATGCTTGGCCCTGCTGCAATCCCACACATCCCTACACCAAAGAAATCTCTCAGGTTTTAGCAGATGTTCTGCTTTTTAAGACAATCATAAATATTTATGATTTTCTCTCATCCTTTTTCCCTAGAGAGGTTAACTAGACTGTAGCAAACCGCATTTCAATACCCAGCCTAGAATTTGGGAGGAGAGCTCTGCTGAAAAGCACTTGTTGGCCCTCACACCTATTTTGAGGCATAACTATAAACATCTTTTATCCTCCCTATACATTCTCTGTATTCCCAGTTAGGAACCAACCTCTAAAAAACCTGCCCCTTTGAGTCCTGAAGACACCTAGGTTAGGGCAGATGACACTGGTTAAAGCATTAGCTTAAGGGTGTTTTTCTTATCAGCCTTGCTCCTGACTGTTGGCCTTGGGCACTGTGGATTTGGACTAGAGTTACAGTTGCTTTTAATTAATTTGTTAAAATTATTATTTTTTTAATGTTTACTTATTTATTTTGAGGGAGAGAGTGCACGGATAAGCAGAGAGAGGAGTAGGGGCAGAGAGAGAGGGAGAGAGAGAATCCTAAGCAGGCTCTGCACTGTAAACACAGAACCTGATGCAGGACTCCATCTCATGACCACAAGATCATGAGTCATATGCTTACCTGACTGACCCATCCAGGCACCCCTTAATTGATTTGTTTGTTCTTATTTTTTTTAGTCTTTTTTTTTTATTGAGGTATGATTAACAAATACTAGTTTCAGGTGTACAACATAATGATTTGATATTTATATATATTGTGAAATGATCACGATAAGTCCAGTTAACATCTGTAACTAGAGTTACAAAACTTCTTGTGATGAGAACTATTAAGATACAATCTCTTAGCAGCATTTCAATATGCAATACAGTATTATTAACTGTATACCATACCATACATTACAGCCCCAAGACTTACTTATTTGTTAACTAGAGGTTTATACCTTTTGATCACCTTCATCCATTTCACCCACTCCCCAGCCTGCCTCTGGCAACCACCAATCTGTTCTCTGTATCTGTGAGCTCAAGTGGTGTATTGCTCTGTTTTGTTTTTTTGATTCTACATGTAAGTGAGATTATATGGTATTTATCTTTCTCCGTCTGACTTATTTCATTTAGTAATGAAATAAGTCCTCAAGTTCTATCCATGTTACAAATGGCAAGATAGCACTTTTTTTTTTTTAAGGCTGAATGTGTAGAACACATTTTCTTTATCCATTCATCCGTCCGTGGACACTTAGGTTGTTTTCATGTCTTTGCTGTTGTAAACAATGCTACAGTGAATGTGGGGGGTGCAGATACCTTTTTGAATTAATGTTTTCATTTTTCCTGGGCAGATACCTAGTAGTGGGATTATTGGATCATATGGTATTTCTGATTTTTTGAGGAACCTCCATACTGTTTTCCACAGTGGCTACACCAGTTTACATTTTCACTAACAGTGCACAAGGGTTCCATTTTCTCCACATCCTTCCCAGCTTGTCTTTTTGAAAATAGCCACTCTAACAGGTGTGAGGTGATATCTCATGGTGGTTTCGATTTGCATTTCCCTGATGATTAGTGATGCTGAACACCCTTTCATGTACTTGTTGGCCACCTGTATGCCTTCTTTGGAAGAATGTCTATTCATATCTTCTGCCCATTTTTTGATCAGATTGGGGTGTTTTTTTTTTTTTGCTATTGAATTTTATGAATTCTTTATATATTTTGGATATTAACCTCTGATCAGATATATGATTTGCAAATATTTTCTCCCATTTAGTAGGTTGCCTTTTCATTCTGTTGGTGATTTCCTTTGCTGCACAGAAGTTTGGTTTTTCTTTAAGTTTATTTATTTATTTAGAGAGAATGCACATGTGTGAGTAGGAGAAGGGACAGAGAGAGAGGAAGAGAGAGAATCCCAAACAGGCTCAGCACTGTTAACACAGAGCCCTACACGGAGCTCAATTCCACAAACTGTGAGATTATAACCTGAGCCAAAGTCAAGAGTCGAACGCTCAACTGACTGAGCCACCCAGGCTCCCCTGTGCAGAAGTTTTTTTAATTTGATATAGTTCACCTACTTAGTTTTTCTTTTGTTCCCTTTGTTTTTGTGGAGTCAGAACCAAAAGTCATCGCCAAGACCATTGTTGAGGAACTTACCACCTGTGTTTTCTTCTAAGAGCTTTATGGTTCCAGGTCCTAACATTCCAGTTTCTAATCCATTTTGAGTTTAGTTTTTGTATATGTTGTTAAGATAGTGGCCCAGTTTCATTCTTTTGCATGTGGCAATCCAGTGTTCCCAGCACCATTTATTAAAGAGACTGTCCTTTCCCCTTTGTATATTCTTGGCTCCTTGACCATATATGTATGGGTTTATTTCTGGGCTCTATTCTGTTCTATTGATGTGTGGGTCTGTTTTTATGCCAGTACTATACTGTTTTGATTACTGTAGGTTTGTAATAAAGTTTGAAATCAGAGAGTATGCTGACTCCAGCTTTGTTCTTTCTCAAGATTGCTTTGGCTATTCAAGGTCTTTTGTGGTTCCATACAAATTCTAAGATTATTTCCTCTGTTTCTGTTGCTTTTCTGTTTCCCTTTCCTTTCCTTTCCTTTCCTTTCCTTTCCTTTCCTTTCCTTTCCTCTGCTCTCCTTTCCTTTCCTTTCCTCTCCTCTCCTCTCCTCTTTTGCTTTTTCTCTTCTCTGTTGCTTTTCATTTAGAATATTACCCTGCTCAGGGTACATGGGTTTAGTGGTGTGGAGGGGCACATACTGAGTCCCAGTGGAAAGCAGGGCAGAGATCAAAAAAAAGAATTCATTGCCCTGGCTTTGGACTCAGAATAAGAGGGCAATAACCTCTTACCTTTGCACAGGGCTTCATATACGTATATTATATCACTTCCCTTTCTAGGGCTGTTCCTAATTGTCTGCCTTTTTAATTGATGGCCATTTCTCATCACTGATCCCCTGCCTTCTCAAGTGCCCATTTTAGATTAGTCATAATCCTTGATGCATAACACCCTGTGTCCTGTGTGATCCATGCGTAACGCTCTTTCCTTTCTGTGTTTTATTCATTCATTCATGTATTTATTCTTAATAAAATGAATATGAATCCAATATCCAAACAAGACCTGGACTGGTAATAACAACTTAGTATGTATCCATGTAGCCCATCTCTGTTTTATAGCCCTGCCTTTCTCCTCCACTTTAGCCATAAATGTTTTGAATTTATGTCTGTCATTCCTTTGCTTTTTCTGAAAATAGTATGATCACATATATATGATTTCCCAAACCATGCTTTCTTTGCTTTTTTGCACTTGAGAAAACAAACAACAAACAAGAGAAGTATACTGTATGCAGTCTTTTGAATCTTGCTTTTTCCACTCCTTGTGATCACTCTGTGTTGTGTGTGGCCATGGTGGGGTGGTGCCACGTAATACTTTGTTGGGAAAGTGGTGGTAAGCATCCAGATTTTGTTTTCCTTTAGAAATGGTGTTGTTCTGGACATTCGGGATATGTTTAGGAGTGGAAGTGCTGGTTATTAGGTATGCGAAGATTCAGCTTCTGTAGATGGTGCCAAATTGTTTTCAGATGTGGTTGTGTCAGTTTATACTCCCCCCAGCAGTTCGTGAGAAATCCCCTTCATCCACGTTCTTTCCCATTGTCAGAAATGTTTATCTTCAGTCCTTCTCATTCTCTTTTTGTCCCTTCCTCGTGCCTGTCGTATTTGATGAGTGCGGTGCAGTTCCGTCAATGTGCCCAGTTGAACTAGTGTTGCCACGACAAACCACTTTTTTGTAAACTTGCAAAATGGCTCAGTACAAACGGCAAATCACTTCAGGTTCTGGTTCCAGCAGTGGCCGAGTCTGATAATGTATTAGACTAAAGTTCCAAAAAAAAATTATAGAGTCTGATCAAGATATATTTAAAAACTATTTGAAGGTACTAGAGAACAACCAAAAAAGCAGATGGAAACTACAGGAGATTTAAGCTTTGAAAAAGGAAACCACATTGGGGTCTCTATTAACTGTCTCCTTAGGTTGCTCGTGTGAGGAGTGGGAGGGGGTTGTGTGGGGCCAGGGGTGCCCGGAACTGAAGGCACAATCTGATTGACTTGAGGTGTCAACAGACAGGGCCGTGAGCTGCCAGAGGAACAAAAACAAAAACAAAACAAAACAAAAAGGACTAACATCAAAAAAAGAAAACTAACGTCAAAAGATAGACTTCAACACAAACGTACTAACAGTATGTTAATGGCAAAAATTAAATAAAAATTAGCTAAATGTGCTAGTACAAAGGTGCAGATGTCAGAGTAGATAAAAACCAAGATCCAACTGTATGTTATTTTCAAGAGACTCATTCTAATGCTAAAATCGTAGATTGAAGTAAAAGAAAGGAGAGCTAGGTTGTGCAAATAATAAGCTGGATGGCACTACTAGCAGCCAATGGCATAGACTTCACAACAAGGGGTATGACCAGAGACAGAGAGGGACGTTTTCTAATGCCACAGAATGGTCAGGTCATCAGGAGAAATACCAATTAACGATGGATATGTGCTTAATAACAGTTTCAAAATACATGAAGCAAAAATTGACAGAAGTAAGAAGAGAAAGACAAATGCACAGTGACCTGTAAAATACTAAGAAGTAAATTTAACGACAGATGCATAAGACCTCTACATTGCAAACTATAAAACATTGCTTAAAGAAACTTGAATATGTAAGGAGAGAACCCATATATTCCAGAACAACGGAACAACTTTGAAAAACAAATGCAATAAAAAAAAAAAGAAAGAAAAGAGCAAAATCAGAGGACTCACACTACCTGATTTCAAGACTTTAAGCTACAAGACAGTGAGGTATTGGCAAAAGGATAGATTGGTGGAACTGAAAAGTCCAGAGAGATATATCCATAAAAAGTTTATACGTGTGTGTGTGTGTGTAGTAAATTGATCTTTGAGAGTGACACCAAGGCAATTCAATAGGGAAAGTTTTGAATAGTTGTGCTGAAACAGCCAATTATCTAAATGAGAAAAAAATGAACCTCTTAACTCACCAACACAAAAATTAATTTGAGGTGGAGCATGGACTTCAGCGTAATGCTAAAACTATAAAGCTCCTAGAAGAAAACATAGGAGAGTATCTTTTTTATATTGGAACAATCTAAGATTTCTTAGGAGGGATGCAAAAAGAGCACAAACCATCCAAAAAAAAATGGGTAAATTATAGATTTCATCAGAATTAAAATCTTCTGTTCTCTGATAGACATTGTTAAGAAAGTGAAGAGGCAAGCCACTGAGAGAAATTCTTTTCTTTTTTTTTTTTAATGTTTATTTTTGAGAGAGAGAGAGCGCACATGAGCACGTGAGTGGGGGAGGGGTAGTGAGAGAGGGACAGAGGATCTGAAGCCAGCTCTGCACTGACAGGCTGACAGCAGTGAGTTTGACCTGGGGCTCAAACTCACAAACTCTGAGATCATGACCCGAGCTGAAGTTGGACACCCAACCGACTGAGCCATCCAGACTCCCCAAGAAATTATTTTTAATACATATATTTGACAGAGAATTTGTGTCCAGAATAAAAATCTCTTAGTCCCTAAGAAACAACTCAGTTTTGTGAAATGGACAAAAGAGATGAATACACGCTTCAAAAAACATATATAAGTTGGCAATAAACACATGAAAATTGTTCTACATCATTTGCCATCAAGTAAATGCATAGTAAACCCATAAAGTGGTGACAGTTCATACCCACTGGAATAGCTGAAGTTAGTAAGATTGAAAATATCAAATGTTTGCAGTGTGTGGAGCAACTGGAATTCTCATAAATTGCTGGTAGCGGTGTGAGATGGTACAAGCCGTTCTAGAAAACTACATGGCAGTTTCTTATAAAGTTAAACAGCGTGTACTCCATGATCCAGTAATTCCATTCCTGTGGTATTTACCCAAGAAAAAGCACATGTCCACAAAAAGACATAAATATGAATGTTAATTTGCAGCTTTATTCATAATAACCCCGCACTGGAAACAACCCAGGTACCCATCAATAGGAGAATGAATAAACATTATGGTATATTCATACAATGATTATGTCAACAATAAAAAAAGAATGAACTACTTATGCACATTAACATGGATGAATCTTAAAAAAAAAAAAAAAAAAGTTTGAGCCAAACCAGACACAAAAGAATACATACTCTATGATTCTATTCATATGAAATCCAAGAATAAGCAAAACAAATCTCTTTTGTGGAAATCACAGTATTGGTTGCCAGGGAGTGGTGGGACCACAAAGGAATTTTTTGGGGTGATAGAAATGTTCTCTATTTTGACTGGGGTGATGGTCACATGGATTTACAGATTTACCAAAACTCATCGAAGCCTATGCACTTCACTGTTTCTAGATTTTCCCTCAATTTCATACAAAGTACTTCAAAGCCTCTGTGCCTTCTGAAGGCGTAAATAACTATAGCACTTTGGCCCTCAAAGTATAGCGAGCACCATTGTTGTTTCATGCTTATTTTTGTTGTTAAAAAATCATGCTGGAATATCTAATATCACAACTGCCTTGGAAACTCTCACTTAAATGGATTTATGTGCATAATCTGGTTCATTTGAGGTAAAGACCTGCTGTGAAGACATCAGGAGGATAACTCTATTTTTCTTAAGCTCCAGAAGGTGATTTCAAAAAGGTTCATTTTTCTAGAACATATTTACAAGTTTATTGGAAAAAAAAATTTTTTTAAATAAATGTTTAAGAAAACATTCTGACCATGTTAGTACTAAGCAGTCATTTTGGGGCAGATGATGCAAGATTTTGTTCTTTCTTAATACCCCTTTCAACCCTAACATTCATTTGGTTTTGAATTATTGTAGCTGAAGTTTACACTCAAGACCTACTTTCCTTATGCTTCTCCATCTCTTGTTATGGTGCTGCTTCAACACCCAAAAGGTATGTGAAAGTTGATTCTGCCTATATTAAAATAATTTCTGGGGCGCCTGGGTGGCGCAGTCGGTTGAGCGTCCGACTTCAGCCAGGTCACGATCTCGCGGTCCGTGAGTTCGAGCCCCGCGTCAGGCTCTGGGCTGATGGCTCAGAGCCTGGAGCCTGTTTCCGGTTCTGTGTCTCCCTCTCTCTCTGCCTCTCCCCCGTTCATGCTCTGTCTCTCTCTGTCCCAAAAATAAATAAACGTTGAAAAAAAAAAAAATTAAAAAAAAAAAAAAAATTTCTGAGAAAGAGGGCTGACAAATCATAACCCTTCCCTACCAGTTCCTTCTCTGTAAAACAAGGGAGATGGAATCAGTCATCTCTAACATCCTTTTAAGCTCCCAGGGTCTCACATCTGTGGGATTTTGATATGAGAATTTGCTGGACTTCCCAGTTACCATTACTTACCAAAAGAAAGAAAAAAAAAATGTCCTCTTGTTAGGTTTTGATAGCCTGCTCAGGATAACCCAGGCTTATGCTGGTGCCAGCTAGATCCACCTGAATGCCAAGAACAGGCTAAGACTTGGCTGAGGTAGGTTAGAACAGTACATTTATTTGTATTTCATTCTTTCCGCTCTGTGCCCCTTGTTACAGAAGAAAAGATAAAACGATGAACAAAGCCAAGGAAATTTAGGGGAAATTTCTCCTAACCAAGCCAAGGGAAAAAGACTTTTGAAAGAATTCAGTAAGTGTATTAAATCATGGCCTTCTCTGGTCTCATTTGCCAGCCTTCCATTGGCCATATCCAGTTGGGAAATTGATGATCCCATCTTTAATCCAACTGGCATTGGTCTGTTAACATGTCTGAGAACTTGTGTTTAGGAAACATTTCAGGCATAGAGAATAAAGGTGTCCTTCCCCTTCCACTAAAGCCTAGAATCTGAAGGAAAGGCAGCACTGACACAGCACTGGCTCTGTGCCAGAGAAGAAGGCATTTTAACTGTCTGTGGAAGGAAAGAGGGAAAGAGCCAGTGATATTTCCTTTTTCATGCCATTTTTACTTGCCTTTTTCCTGAGTAGATTGATTCATTTGAGAAAAGTTTCAAGAGTATTTTACAAGAGTATTTCAAGTTTCAGAGTATTTTACAAAATTCAAATTCCTCTTCATTTTCCTTTAAATATTTATTTTATTTTATTTTATTTTATTTTATTTTAGAGAGAGAGCAAGCAGGGAGAGGGGCAGAGAGAGAGAGAATCTTAAGCAGGCTTTAGTCTTCAGCTTGGAGCCCGATGTGGGGCTCGATCCCACAACCCCAGGATCAGGACTTGACCTGAAATCAAGAGTTGGACGCTCAACTGACTGAGCCACTCAGGCACCCCTTCTCTTTGTTTTTCTGAAAGATGTAGGTTTTTACCCAGAATGACCCATCTGACACTGTCCTCTCAGATGCTGGTGGTGGAGGTGGTAGTGAGGCTGCTGGGACCTCTGATCAACAGTTTGGTGAAATTTAACCTGTGGGAACACAGTGGGAAAACTTGGATAACAAATTTCTGTTTCTAGAAGTACACTTTACAGCTTAGGTCAGATTAGAGAAGCCTGAGGTCAGCCTATGAGCTCCAGAAGAAATATTGGAGTTATTATTTTGTAAGTTGGGAAACCTATAAACACAAGACTAAGGGGGTACCTTGGGCATGGAACTCACCTATTTACCTTTTCCTTTGTGTGATGGTCTTAGATTTGTGTCCAAAAATAAATAAGTAAATTTAAGCAGAAGTTGCTCCTATGCTACTTTTCAGCCTATTCTTTTTGGAAAACATGAATGTTTAATTCACAAATTGAAGTATTTTTTAATAGTAGAATCTTCTATTCATCAGAAATTGATTTGGGGCCCTGTGGGACATAAAAGTAAAGTCCTGTGGGGCGTAAAAGATAGATCACTTACAAGTCCTGACTATCCAAGAGCTACAAGTGGGGGGACATGAAATAAGTATCTAAATAATTAATACAAAGAAGAAAATGAAAAATGCTTTCAAAGGCTACAAATCAAGAGTAATGGGCATTCAGAGGAGGGAAAGGTGATCTTTTCATCTGTAACACTTACGGGGTAGTTACAGTGGCTGCCTTATCACTTACATTATCTTCTCGTGTATTTAATTATAGAATCTATCACTGTATGGATATGTGGTAACTTTTTCAGATATTACTTAGAACTGCAGATACGTGCGTATCTAAAACCTTGGGATAATTATGAAACCAGAAAAACTAAGAAAAGACATTTGTTCACATGATACCCATGTATTATTTTTCTGGCCCATTCTTCCCTATAAACCTGTAATCATATTCTGAATTCAGCACAGTCATAGAAAAACAATTGAGCAGCCTATCCTTAGTTCCTTGTTGACTTTTATTACCATCTCCATGTACTTTGAAATCACAAATTGTCAGTGATAAGGAGTGAGGGGTTGGGTAGAAAGGAAAAAACGTGAGGTATCTGCAACGTAACATTTTCAGCCCTAGGGTGGGCTGCTTATGGAGTTTGTCTACTTCTGTGTACCTGAGTTAAAGAGCCTTTGAAGGTTCTGTGTAACACTGAGGATCTTCCCAGGCCTAAGGGATGGATGCTGGCTGGGAACAGCAGGAGACCAGTGGTATGGGTCCCATGGGCCAGGAAAAATATAGCCTTTTTCCAAAGCTCTTTTGGTCTTAGCTGCAGACGATCCTAATAGGTTTGACTTTTCTTCAGCTCCCTCTGGTTTGTCTTTCCACCCACAGATATCCCACAAAAACTGTGGCACCAGCCACTGAAACATATTTCTGAAATGCTCAGAGAAATAGTTGAAGACCAGACTCATGGGTAAGCAAATCCTAATGACGCCTAGGTCCATCTCACAGTGGTTTCTCTTGATCCTTATCATCTGTTTGAGGAGGGCCAAGGGGAAGGCATTACTGGTCTGTGACCACGCCCAAACAGGTAAGCACCTTGCTGAGTGAGAAGTGGAAGAAGCACATAGCTGCACGTGTGTCACTCTGAGCAGCTCAGCAGCAGTGCATATGTAAATACCTTGTATAGAAACTGTCCTGAGTAGTATTGGTATTGGATCTTGAGATGTACAAGCATAACGAGAAGAGCAGACCCTAGGAAAACAGCAGAGCCCGCATGCTGCCGCCGCCCCCAGCCATGCAGAGGACCGTGCTCTCTGGGCCCCTTGGTCTTCTCCCTTCTTCTGTGATCTCTAGGGAAGGAAATTCTAAACTTCTCCTGCACAATAGGGTAAAATGTCCCTTTTTCCTCTTCTCTTTAATAAATATTTGTTTAGGGGCGCCTGGGTGGCTCAGTGGGTTGAGCGTCTGACTTTGGCTCAGGTCATGATCTCGTGGTCCGTGAGTTGGAGCCCTGCATTGTGCGCTGTGCTGAGAGCCTGGAGCCTGCTTTGGATTCTGTGTCTCCCTCTCTCTGCCTCTCCCCGACTGATGTTCTGTCTCTCCCTGTCAAAAATAAACTTTAAAAAAAATTTTTAAATAGATATTTGTCTAAAATTAGAATTATATTCTAACATAAATTAGTTTCTAACATGATATTAAGTACTCTCATGCGTTAATTTTCCTAAAAGCAATCCCATTTAGGCTTTACTAACTTCTTTGTGACATAACACCCTGCACCTTCCTCTTGATTTACTTTTTTTTTTAGAGTACAAATATTTTGTTGTCTGTACTAACTTACTAAGACCGTCTCTATTTGTTCCTTTTGCCACTATTCCCTCTTGAAATTCTCTGTAATCTGCTCGCTGAGCCATCACATATTACGGTTGGTGCTCCTTATGTTCATGATCACTGATGCACATTTGGTGCCGGTTACTCACCACCCCGCACTCAAGATTCTTACCAATAAAGGAGACAAAAAGAACTGGCAGACAAGTGGGGTTCAGAGTATCAGCATGGTAATGGCCTGTAACACCTGTCAGTCCCATGTGCATGCTTTCAGGTTGTCTCTGGTGAAAGAGCAGGACCTCAACGCAAAGCCTCATGGGACTCTTACCTAACTTAGATCTGCCTTAACTAGATTTCTGGGTCCACCTGCAGGGAGGGGCCAGTGAACAGGTTCCGGTGCTTTCTTAGCCAGCCACTAGGACTGCCTCACATGCTCAGTTACTGGTAGAAAAGAGGAAAAAGAACCCGGCCCATTTCTGCAAGGCAGGCCCTGTAGCCCCTGTCCAGGGAGTGTGAGAGAGCCCTGCTGCTCAGCTTATAGTGAGGTCTGTAGGGAAGATCCTCTGTGGAACCCATTCCTGGCTTTTCAGCCATCATAACCCAGCAGACCACTAATGTGGCCCACAGAGCACCAGTTCTTCCTCTTGTGGGACAAGTAAGATTAATACTCACTCCCCTTTCTTCTTCTCTCCACTGTTCCACAAGCTAGGTGTTAAAACATTTAGTCACTTGCTCTCAGAACAGACATAGCAGACCCAGATCCAACCAAGAGGGGCCCAGAGCTCTCCTGTTCCAGGAACCTCCCCGGTTCAGAAGAGAAGTTCTGATCTTAGGCCAGTCCCACTCCATTTTCCCTAGGGGAGATGTTAAGCTGCTGACACTGTCACTGTGCATATTAATAGGTCCTTTCCTTGAACAGAGTCTATCTTTTAAATAGCCAGTGTGCCTGTCCATTCCCAGCATGGCAAAAGGATAGCTTCATAAAAGCTTCTAACTTTTCAGCTTCCCATACATGACAGGAAAGAATATACAGTATGCAGCCCGTTCAAAGTTCATCATTGCCAAAATACTGGCCAGAACCTTGTGTTTTGTCAGAAAGGAAATAACATATGTTTTTGTCTGCATCCCTTCCTCGTCTCCATCTGGACCCCAGGGAGCCCCCTCATTTCTTGCTCTGGAGCTACCTGGGTGGCTGCCTCAGGGCTGGGAGGCCCCCTCTTCACAGCAGCCCAGCTGTACAGGCCTTGCAGAAAGCAGAGGGGGCCTTAAAGCTCTCATCTTGTAGCATTCCTGTTGGTCATGGCCCAGAACCTTTCTTTGTCGAAGCCTGTAGCCACTCATGGTCCTTGGATATAAAGATTTAAGTGTCTAAAGTCCTCGGGACACATGGGATTTTGAAAGACCTGCCTTTGAAGGTCCTGTGATGGGTTCAGAATGGCATTGTGAGCTATTTTTTAAATCTAACTTGTATTCCTTGCAAGATGTACCTCAGTGGATAAGAACAATTTAAGCCAACCATTCGCAGACATTACAGCTGCTCTAAGAACCAAAAAGAGAAAGAAGTCAAGTTGCCCAGCTGCCATGTGTTTTGGTTCTGTTCCAGGTCCTACGGAGGCCCCTTTGAGTGCTGGTTTTTGTTCATTCACTTTGGAGGATGGGCTGACATCGCGGCTGAGCAGTTAGTGATGTCAGAAGCTGAACCCCCGGAAGCCCTGCTGTGGCTCTTGGCCTTCAGCCACAGTCCACGTGACAGGAGTCAGCAGCGAGCACAGACCATGGTGGGTGGCAGGACGTGCTGTGTGTGGTGCTCTGGGTTCGTCTCTTGGGATCAGAAAAGATGCTGCAGGAAGGGACCTGTGGTGGGTTTGGCCTCCAGTAACCCCCAGGCACCTAAGCACTGGCTGTTCACTGTGCTCACGTGTGGTAGCATGTACACATCCACCCAGATGGGTAAGTGCACACATGCTAGGTTTGTGGTTGGAGACATCTTCTTGCCTCACAGAGTTGACTAGACATGGGAAACTGCCACTCTGCTTTCCTGGGAAGCACCACGGAGATGAGGCATAGCCCTTCTGTCCCCTACATTGTTTTATCTGTTCTTGCTCAGCTGCCACCAATGCCCTTGTTTACAGTCAGCCCTGGCCCAGGGGCCAAGTCCTCTAGCATTTGCCGTGCAGAATCTGACCGCTCCTCTAAGGAGCACTGTCCTCTCTCTGATCAGCAGCCTGTCCCTGTCTGCTTCCGTCTTGACTTACTGCTTTCTTGGATCAGACAACAAATCCTCACATTACAGGCTTTGTTTAGCACTCTTACTAAAGTAATCTGATATTAACCCCTTAGCTTCTGAAAAAGGACTTGGGCATTCCCTAAATAACAGAGCAGCTAATACAGGACTGGCTGTCTATGGCAAATCGAGTTTTTATTTTATGCAGAGTATAATGACTACAGGAAGCAGTGCTTTGATTAAAGGCATTGGCACCTCCCTTGCAAATGTTTATTTGCTGGTTTTTAAAACTTTAGCTGCTAACACTTTTTGCTAATTTTAATAATTAAAGGGAGCAAGTTTCTTTATGTAGAGAGTAAGTTTCCTATTTGCTTCATGTTTTCTGTTTGAAAAAAGCAGAGACTAGTACAGATATGTCTGTATATTTTTCTTATTTAAAGACTCGCATGGCATGGGGTGCCTGGGTGGCTCGGTTGGTTAAGTGTCCGACTCTTGATTTCGGCTCAGGTCTTGATCTCACAGTTTGTGGTTTCGAGCCCCATGTCATGCTTGAAATTCTCTGTCTCCATCTCTCTCTCTGGCCCTCCCCTGCATACACTGTCTGTCTCTCTCTCTCTTTCTCTCTCTCTCCCAGAGATGGATAAACACTTAAAAAAATGAACGAATACTTGCATGGCAAAGGAAAGAAAGAGTTTTAGATTTTAAAAAGTTGAAATTTGGTGATAATTTATTTTAGATCAAAAATACGTTTTTAAGAAATTATCATAATCCACATATGTGTTTGAGGGTTGCTTTATGACTAAGAAGAAAGCTTTCTATCTCCCTTTTTAAAATATCACATTAAACTTATTAAGAGAAATCCTAATTATGTTTTCATTATCTTATTTTTAGTGATAATAGTTAAAATGTATATGGCACTAATGATTTTCAAAGCCCTGTTATATATACTTTATATTTGATTCCTTATAAGCTAAGTTGGTAAGTTATATGTTAAATTCCTGATCAATCATTGAAATGGACAGAGATTCACTTTTGAAAGGTAGAGAAATAAATTGTCCAAAAGAAAGGTAATTTCTAGAAAGCTCTGCATTGGCATGTCTAATACTTACCTTGGCTTTTTTTTTTTTTTTTTTTTTAATCTGTACATAGTTCTTACTGCAGGGATGCTGTAGCATACTGGATAAAAATAGATTAGTTCACTCAGAGTAGTTTAGCACCTGCATGTTTGCTTCCTTCTTAGCTATCCTGTGAGAGGGGCTATCTGTCTTGTGACTGAAGACACGTTTCATGTTTGTGAGCCTAAAGCCTCTTCCTCCTTGGTGCCCAACCTGAGGCACTGGTGTGTGTGACATCCTGGGGAGCAAGTGAGCCCAGTTTTCCTAGTTTAGTAATACATACCTCTTTCTCTCCTGGGTTTTGTGAACTTTAAATCCCTTTGATGGTCTGTTGGGTGACTTGAGAAACAAACTGTGAGCTGCCTTTGAATGCATGTTTATTGTGAGATTTGAATGAGCCTGACAACACCTGTGCCCTTTCCTCAAAAGGTGTCATTAAATCCTGGTTAATCACTCAGCCCTGACAGCGTATTGTGGGCCAGCCTCCACTGGCCATCCTTGAGGTTCAGTAACAGGGAAGCAAGGGCAACTGCCGCACAAAGACGCGCCCTTCTCTCTGCAGACCCTGTTTGCTGCCAGCCAGTGTTCATCTTCTTTTGCTAACTTTGAATTTAATCATGATAAAAACACAAAATGCCAGGGGAGGGTGGGTGATGGGTATTAAGGAGGGTACCTTTTGGGATGAGCACTGGGTGTTGTATGGAAACCAATTTGACAATAAGTTTCATATATTGAAAAAAAAAGAAAAACACACAAAATGCCTGTGTTTGAATACCCATAAGAATTAAGCCAGGGTTCATACTCTGACTTTGTTATTCCACCTCTAGGAATTATCCTAGGGAAGGAATTAGAGATCCATACAAAGATTTATGTGTAAGAATATCATTACAGCATTGTTGTAATTGCAGATGTTAGAAATGGCCTAAACTTTCAATAGTATGGAACTGACTAAATAAGTTGTGACATATTCTAACCATGGACTAACATTCTGCCATGAAAAATCATGTTCTCAAAGACTTTATGTCATAGATACGTGAAATTACTTACAGTGCATTGTGAGAAGTGTAAGCAAACATGCCACATAGTGAGCTCTGGGTTCACAAGGCCTGGGGAAAGATGAGAAGGTTGTGAACCTGGTTTCCTCCATCTCCCCTGGAGAAAATGGAGCAAGACCAGCCTGAGATTAAGTTAGATCAGATCTTTCATTTGGATGGTGGAGGTACATCATACCTTGTTGTTCAGACTTTCTAGTGAACATATGTAAATTTTCATAATGCAGGATAAAAAGTAATCCTTAGAAAAGAAAGCTTATCTCTTTTACTAAAAACAAATTAAAAAGCATTTAAAGTTTTGGCATGTCAGGTGAAAGCTTATGGATGTGGAAGGCATTTGAAGGGAAAGATGGTCTGGGATGAAGACAACCAGTACTGAACAAGGGTAGAAAATCAAATGCCAGTCAAGAAGAAAATGGATATGAAGGCATAGCTTCCTAAGCCCTGACATTTTTGCAGACCTTTTAGATGGTAAGATGGTCTTGGGCTCCCATAGACGCCATCAGATGAGGGCAGGCTGGGCCCAGCTGACAGAGGAGGTGGTGAGAGAGTAGCCCTCTCCTATTGGAATGCTGCCATTCTCCGTGGAAGAGCCCCATGGTACAGTTTCTCACGGTCTTGGATTGTGGTCAGAATAGCTCACACAGCACTCCTAGTGTATTGGAGTTTATGACAGACTTCATTGAATGAGGCTTTAACTTCCAGGGGGAAAAAAAGACGACTCACACAAAATCCATAAAATTGGTCATGGGAATTCTCAGAATAGGCCTAAGTACTCTTTCGAAAATGATGGAACATAGCTGTTCATGAGTTCCATGTGGCATTTTGGATCTATGGCTTTCAGTTTTTCTTTGTTTTCCACGTCACATCTTGATGTACTATTCTTATAGCAAGCAGAAGTCTCAGCATGAAATAAGTACTTTTTATGCAAAAACAACCCACAGACCTATAACGATCACATTATGTGAATTCTACAGACTTGTGACCTCTGCTTATGCTTTCAACATGTATGAACACTGTCCCAGTGTCTAAAACAAAACAAATGTGGTGTGTGTGTGTATGTGTGTGTTTCCTCCCCTTAGAGATAACAAAAGGCAAAAGGCAAACCTCATTCTTATCAGAACATTGGCTCAGTGGAGGTCCAGTTGCATGGGGCTTTAATTGATTTGTGGCTATGATAGAGAGCAAGTCTTCAAGGAGCCTTTTGTTCCTTTTCCCACAATATAAAAATCTGACTACATTCTGCTGAGGATTTTTCTCTGTCTCTTTTCTTACAAAAAAAAAAAAAAAAAAAAAAAAAAAAAAAAGGTCAATTCCTGGCGTGGTGCCTTGGCTGCTTAGCAAGACGAAAGAAAGTCAAGAAATTTCCATTACGCCCATTTGGGTTTGTGTGGAACAGAGTATAAGCTCAGACATGAGTCGCCTCTGTCTGCCTTCCCTAGGTCGCCAGTCCTCTCCTCTTTCTAGGGCTTACTTCAAAGTCCCAAATAAATCCTAGAACCATACAGGTCCTGACTCTTCCCTAATCTCTCACCTTTGAAATTATACTTCCCAGGTAGAGGTAAAGGCAGTGCTCAGCCACCTCAAGAAGCTGCTCAGAAGTCCAACTCTCTCAGCCAGGGATCTACAGGCAGCAGCTGCAGAGAGCCAAGACAGAGACCCCAGACCACCTTCATGTCAACAGCTGATCAGGCACCTCCTCCTGAACTTCCTGCTCTGGGCTCCTGGAGGCCATGCGATTGCTCGAGAAGTCATCACCCTTGTAAGTCTCCCCTTTAATAGTGTGCTAATTCTCATTTGCATTCCAGGTATGAGGATTGCCTGGCCTTTGACAAGTATGTGTACCAGGGTGCTGTCCAAACATGGATGGACAGGCAATGAAGTTGAAAGTTGGGATGGACCCCAGAGCCTGCCCCTTGTGACACCTTCATAATAAGGAAGAAAATGGAGGCTCTGAAAAAAGAGGTCACAATTACTGTCAGAGTCCATCGTAAAGCCAGGTCTTCTGTCTTCCCATGTACTTACTCTTTCAGTTACATTCGTCATGAAGACAGACAAGACTTCAGTGAGAAGTGTTCACTATAGCAATCCAAAAAATTTTGTTAATTAAAAAAACAGTGTTTGCTAATTACAAAGAATTCTTTCTGAAACCCAGCTGACATGAGGGATAAAGAATGGTCCAAGTCAAAAGTGAGTATCATTCATGGCATTGGGTTAGGCAATGACTTCTTGGATAATATCCCCAAAGGCACAGGCACCACCAACAAAAAATAGATAAACTGAAATTCATCAAAATTAAAACATGTTGTTCATCAAAGATACAAGCAAGACAGTGAAAAGACAAACTCAGGAATGGGAAGAAAATATTTGGAAATCACGTATCTGACAAAGGGGTTAGTATCCAGAATATATTGGGAATTCTTACAACTCAACAACAGCAAAAACCCAATTCAAAAATGGACAACAGATCATAAATAGCTAATAACCACCTGAAAAAATGCTCAACATTATTAGCCATTAGGGAGGTGCAAATTAAAACCCATGATGAGGTAACAGTCCACACCCTCTAGGATGGCTATTACAAACAAAATGGAAAAAACAAGTGTTGGTGAGGATATAGAGAAATTGGAACACTCCTATATTTCCAGTTGGGAATGCTAAAATGGTACAGCCACTGTGGAAGAGTTTGATAGTTCCTGAAAAAGTTAAACATAGAATTACTATATGATCTGGCAATTCTACTTCTGTGTAAAAGAATTAATAGAATTAAACACTTGGCCACCCTGTTCATAACAGCATTATTCACAATGGCCAAAAGGTAGAAACAACCCAAGTGTCCATCAACAGATAAATGGATAAATAAAATATGGTCTGTATATACAATGGGGTATTTTTGAGCCTTAAAAAAGAATGAAATTCTGATATATGCTACCACATGGATGAACCTTGAGGACATTATTCTAAGTAAACTAAGCCAGACACAAAAGGACACATGCTATATGATTCACTTTTATGAGGTACCTAGAATATGCAAATTTATAGAGACAAAATGTAGAATAGAGGTTACCAGGAGCTGGGCAGGGGAGAGGAATGGAGAGTTGTTTTGGATAATGAAAAAAAGTTCTAGAAATGGATAGTAGTGATGGTTGTACAATATTGTGAATTTACTTCATGCCAATGAACTGTCCACTTCAAAAGGGTTAAAAGACCAAATTTAAAAAGTGTCCACATGCTAGCTTTTGGAATTTTTATTTGCTTTTGTTTTTATTTTTTACTGACATATAATATACATACAGAAAACATACAGCTTGATTAATGTTCATAAACCAAAAATAACCATGCAGCCAGCAACCAAATCAGGAATGTTCTCAGCATCCAGAGAGCCCCTTCTCGCTCCTTTCCCTGGGCAGGTTCTGTTTGAATGTGAATATGAAGAGAGTCCCAGTGATAAGTAGGACTGCCAAGAACCTCAGAAACCAGCACCCAGGAGGTTCTCAGTCCTGGTAAAACAGTCAGCATGGAGCAGGCAGGCCACAGCAGCCAGCCTGTTAGTCCTGCCTCTCATGTTCAGACAGAAGGCTAAGAGCTAAAAAAATGTCCATGTGTCCATAGATCTTGATATCAACCAACATTACCTCTGGCCAGCTATAAGTAATAATAGTCACTTTTCAGCCACTATCTCAGCCAAGTGATCAAGGTCAACATGACAGTCATAAGACATGTTGACTATAAGTACCCTTAATATAATATAATAATAATATAATGTGATGAAAATGGCCCTTCTGTGATCTTCCTCCCCTAAACTTTTATAATCCCAGTCTAATAATGAGAAAAACAAATGACAAAAATACCTATGTAGCACACTTCAAAACTGTCCAGGCCATCATCAAAAGGAAAGTGTTAGAAACTGTCAAAGTCAAGAGGAGCATAAGGAGACATGAAAACTAAATATAATGTAGTATTTTAGATATTATCCTGGAACAGAAAAAGGACATTATGGAAAAACTGAGGAGATGAGAAAAAGTCTGTCCTTTGGTTAATAAAATGTATCCATATCAGTTTATTAATTGTGATAAATGTACTATACTAATTTAAGATGTTAATGGAAAACCAGATGTCGGAGATATGGGATCTTTCTGTATTATCTTTTCAGTAAACTAGAAGTCTAAAACTGTTCTAAAATTAAAAGCTATTTCAAAAAGTCAACAGCAGGTGCTTTTGAATCATGAAGGTATTAGAGCCATTTTTATCACCTGAAACAAATGAAATACGATGAGACAAATGAAAATGGAAACAACTTTCCAGAATTTATGACACACAGCAAAAGCAGTTGTAATAGGGAAGTTCGTAGCAATACAGCTCCTAAGATCCAGGAACAAGGCAAGGATGCCTACTCTCACCACTTTTATTCAGCGTAGCACTAGAGGCCCTGCCCACAACAATCAGACAAGATAAAGAAAAGACATCGAAATTGGTAAGGAAGAAATAAAACTGTCACTATTTGCAGATGACATGATACTATATTTAAGAAACCATAAAGACTCCACCAAAAAACTATTAAGACTAATAAATGAATTCAGTAAAGTCACAGGATACAAAATTACCCTACAGAAATGAAACATCAAAAAGTGAACAGTCCCATTTACAATTGCATCAAAAAGACTAAAATACATAGGAATAAATTTAACCAAAGAGATGAAAGGCCTGTACTCTGAAAACTATAACATACTGATGAAAGAAATTGAAGACAGTACAAATAAATGGAAAGATATTCCATGTTCATTGATTGGAAGAATTAATATTGTTACAGTTATTACCCAAAGCAATCTGCGGATTCATTGCAATCCCCATTAAAATACCAATGGCATTTTTCACAGAACTAGAACAAACAATCCTAAATTTTGTATGGAACCACAAAAGATCCCAAATAGCCAAAGTAGTTTTGAGAAAGAACAAAACTAGAGGTATCACATGCCCTGATTTCAAACTATACTACAAAGCTTTAGTAATTAAAATAGTATGGAACTGGCACAAACAGACATATAGATCAATGGAATAGAGAGTTCAGAAATAAATCCACATATATACAGTTAGTTAATCTACAAAAATGGAGGCAAGAATATACAATGGGGAAAAGACAATAAATGGTGTTGGGAATACTGGACCACTATCTTATACCATATGTAAAAATAAATTCAAAATGGATTAAAGACTTGAATGTAAGACCTGAAACCATATAACTCCTAGAAGAAAAAACATAGGCAGTAAGCTCTTTGACATCATTCTTAGTGGTGTTTTTTTGGACCAGTTTCCTCAGGCAAGGGCAACAAAAGCTAAAATAAAACAAATGGGATTATGTCAAATTAAAAAAAGCCTTTTCGTGGTGAGGGAAACCATCAACAAAATGAAAAAGTAACCTACTGAATGGGAGAAGATATTTGCAAATCATACATCTGCTAAGGGGTTAATATCCAAAATATATAAAGAACTTTCACAACTTTAAAAAAATTGATTAAAGTTGGGCAGAGGACTTAAAAAGGCATTTTTCCAAAGAAATACAGATGGCCAAGAGACACTTGAAAAGATGCTCATCATCACTAGCCCTCAGGGAAATGCAAATCAAAACTACAATGGGATATCACCTCACACCTATCAGATAGGCTGTCATCAAAAGGACAAAAAGGAAGAGTTGACAGGGATATGGAGAAAAGAGAACCTTATATACCCTGTAGGTAAGAATGTAAATTGGTGCAGCCACTATAGAAAACAATATGGAAGTCACTCAGAAATTTAAAAATACAACTACCATACCATCAAGGAATTCTACTTCCAGGTATTTATCTAAAGAAAATGAAAACATCTATTCGAAGAGATAACACGTTGCACCCCTATGTTCATTGTAGCGTTATTTACAATAGTCCAGATATGGAAGCAACCTAAGTGTCTGTCAATAGATGAATGTGTAAAAAGGTTATATATGGTATGTATATGGACTGTTATTACTCAGCCATAAAAAAATGAAAAAAAATGAAATCTTGCCATTTGCAAACACATGGGTAGACCTTGAGGGTATTGTGCTAAGTGAAATAATAAAGAGAAAGACTAAAAAATAATAATAAAAGAGAAAGATAAATCCCAGATGATTTCACTTATATGTGGAGCCTAAAAAACAAAACGGGCGCCTGGATGGCTCAGCTGGCAGAGCATGTAACTCTTGATCTCAGGGTCATGAGTTCAAGCCCTACAAGAGCTTACCTTAGATAGATAGATAGATAGATAGATAGATAGATAGATAGATAAAATGTCTTTAACTATTTAAGAAAAAAGTAAAAATTAAAAACAAAACAAATGAATAAGAAAAAGTGGAAACAGACTCATAGATACAAAGAACAAACTGATAGTTACCAGAATGGTGGTTAGGGAGTGCGGGGGGGGGGGGGGGGGGGGGGGGGGGGGGGGAGCAAAGTAGATGAAGGGGATTAAGAAGTACAAATTTACAGTTATAAAATAAGTAAGTCATAAATTCTGGTTCAAGATGGCAATGTAGGAAGACACCTATTCCACAGACATACCAAACCTATGCCTATTTATAGAGCAATTCCTCCTGAAAAACTGAAGGCTGACTGAAAAGCTTCTGCACAACAAAAGATAGGCCATAGAGAATGGCAAGAGAGATGGAGACATGGTAATGAAGGGAACACACACTGCAAACTACAGTGGAGAGGGTCCCTCAGTACCATAAGTAGATTCATCTGCCCTGGG